CGGTAAACAGTCGGCGAGGGCACGTGTAGTGTTTAGACGGTGTACACGGCGTGTACACGGGATTAAACGGATTACACGTTTTTAACTACATTAGTATTAATAATTTAATATTATGACTTATGAGTCAATGACATAGCCATAGCCCATACGCAAATTGCAGATAACATCACAACAGTCAACAGCACAGGTGTTCATCTTACAACACAACAGTTAGTAACACACTGCACGCATATATAGTTCTCACAAAGATACATATCAACTCCAGAAGTCAGTAAGCATGCAAGAAAAATGATAAACTAATTAAGGATTCATGAAGAGCCTGAAGGCAGCAAGCTCAATCATCATTATCCCCTTCTTGCTCTTGCTCATAACCAGTCGTGAACACGTTGTCTTGATCGGACTCAAACTCAATTTCTTCCTCCTCATTTGCTGATTCTGGTTCAGTTTCAGACTCGATCTCCTCTTCAATCTCTCTTGGCTGAGCCAATCTTGCACTCCTACGCAGTTTGGTGACCTCCTCAGCACCACATGTCTCCACAATTTGTTCCCATGTCAGCCCAGTAACAGCCTCAGGACTAGAGCTATCATCATCTCCACCCTCAACCATCCACGCTTGGCAATAAGTTGATTCAGTTGCTACCAGGGGATCCATCTTGTCATTCTTCTTGGCCTTAGATTTTTTCTTTGCATGAAGAGAATTGAATCGAACAAAGACAAGTTGCTCTACTCTTTCAGTAGTGAGTCTGTTTCTTTTCTTTGTATGAATCTACAAAATTTAGAGTCTGAGAGTGTTGTACAGATAAAACGTGAGCAAAGTTCCACAAGTAACTCAGATTCCAGAGACTTAGTGACTTACCCCTTCAAAGCAACTCCAATTCCTTTCACAGCCTGACGAACTTGAAGTCAGAGAGAGAAGCCTGATAGCCATCTTTTGCAGTGTTGGAACTTGTGTTCCATAATTTCCCCACCACTTGGCTGTTCAAGTACACATTCTCAAGTGTTAAAAGGTTAAGATAGAAATTTAGGTGAACCCATACAACATTGCTGGTTAGAAAGAGAAAGACAATTAATAATCCAATATCAATTTAACTTGCATACCTGGGCAGAAATTATAGTCCTTGCAGCCAGCCATAGCAACATGTTTTGCGAAGTGACCAGTTTGATCTTTGAACTTGTGCAGGTCCTCATTGAGGACTTGATTTTGCTTCTCATAATCACCATGATAAAAGGTTTCAACAGCTGAAATGAACCCATCCATGACATCCTCATTTGCAAAGATGGAAGAATCATTGTAGCTATAAAAGGGATTCAAGAAGTAAGCAGCCAAGTGCAAAGGAGTGTCCAGCCTATTCTTCATCTTCACATCAATGATATCTATGATAGTATTGTAGAGGTTGAGATTCACAGACTTGTCCATACTCCCTATGCCCTCCCTGATTTCTTTCTTAGCCTTCAGAATTTCTCCATAAAGAAAAGCCATTGACGGCTTCACATCCCCATCAACCATGCGAAGTACTTTGACTAGTGGCTCAAATACCCTCAAGCAAAGAGCCACACCACCCCAAAAAGCAGGTTACACCAAAGTAGTCGTGCCTTGCACACCTTTAGGGCTTTTCTTGACATGGCTGATTTTCTCCCATTCATCACTTTGAGACATTGCCCTTAACTCGTTCCTCTTCTCATACAAACTTTGCAGGGTAAGAAAAGAGGAAGCAAATCTTGTCACACCTGGCCTAATAATGTCTCTCTTTTTTGTGAATTTCCTCATCAAAGCCAGTGTTTTATGGTGTGCATAGATAAAGATAGTCAGTGCCTTTGCTTGGTCAATTATGTTCTTGAATTTTTTCATCTTTCCAATACCTTCAAGCATTAAATTGAGAGTATGAGTTGCACATGAACTCCAAAATATATTGGGCCTCTTCACATACAATAGATCTTTCGCTGCCATGTTGTTTGAAGCATTATCTGTGACTACTTGAACCACATTTTCAGCACCTACTTTCTCAATGCAGCTGTCCACATACTCAAAGATGAGATTTCCAGTATGGGACTCAGCTGAGGCCTCCTTTGATTCTAAAAAGCTAGTACCAATGCTGCAATTGACACACAGATTCATTATGCTTCTCCTCTTTTGATCTGTCCATGCATCAGTCATAATTGAGCACCCATTCTTTGCCCAGTCTTCCTCTTGTGACTTGAGTAGCTTCTTTGTATCCTCCACTTCTTCATACAACAGTTTCTCTCGCAACTCATGCTGATTTGGTTTCTTTCCACTTGGGCCAAAGCGACCAGCAGCCTCAATCATCTGATCAAACTCTTCATTGTTGATGGCATTGAAAGGTATTCCTGAAATTTACAACAATTTAAGGTTACAAACAGATAAATCAACAAACCATTTGATATGTGAACATTTAATTAATGAATCAATGGAGCAGCTTATTACCGTGTACATACACCCACTTTGCAATATATCGCTTCAAGTTATGCATTCTCTCTTTCCATATTGCTTCACTGATTTTTTGCTGCCTTACCACCTTTGTGTTGCACAATGAGCTGGGATCCATAGGCATTGTATACTTATCCATTGGCCTCAACTTCCGTTGCGACGATTCCCCAACACCAACCCCTTCAACAGTGGTAGTGGTGTCTTCACTATCTGCCCCATCATCAAGGACCACAACATCTCTGACCTCTTGCTGCTCTTGTTCCCTTGCCTTCTTAGCTTTCTTTGCATCATCCAAGGCTTTCTTGCACTTTGCTTTGTCCTCATCTTTCGCTTCAGGACAAGGTCTAACCTGACCACGAACCCCAGCAATGTGTTGCTTCAACCTATATATGCCTGCCTTGACAACAAAATCACACAACTTGCACTGAACCTTATTCAAGTCGTTTGGATCCACGAGCATTCCATACTCCCATCCAACGTCACAGGAATTTCTCTTGAGATTGTTGTGGGTACTCTTAGTAGTGTTGGTGGAAGGACTAGGAGCTGAAGCAGCCGACGACATCCTGCAAATCAGTTCACAGTTTAAAATGACTATCAATTGGAAGAGGGAGCACCAGACCCACGGCATGCCAACTAGCCTACTAAACAAGCACATCCTGCAAATCAGTTCACAGAACAGAGCATTGCATATTTGCCTATTTGCAATCCATGATGTATCAATGAATGATTAAAATGCCAGACTAATTCCTAGAGACACAGCAACACACAACTAAACAAGCACATCG